AACACCTCCATTAAATCAGTCTTTTGCACGTCAATAACTGTCTGGTTTAGCTCAGCTACCAAATCTGAGCTTAGAAGACGCCGTCGTCTTGGGGTGGCACACAAAAAATAATAAATTCAGTGTTTTATATATATATAAAACACTATATATATATATATATAGTGTTTTATATATATATTTTATATATATATAAAACACACACATACATATATATATATATTTGTTTCTGGTAAATGAAATAGTGGTTTAAATATTGCAATTTATTCTTGAAATAATTCAGCAAGTACATGTGCAAACCAAATAAAAAGCAATATTTAGTTTAAAAACACTTATTTATATATATATATATATATATATATATATATATATATATATATATATATATATATATATATATATATATATATATATATATATATATATATATATGTGTGTGTGTGTATATATATGTGTGTGTGTATATATGTGTGTATATATGTGTGTGTATATGTGTATATATATATATATATATATATATATATGTGTGTGTGTGTGTGTGTGTGTGTATATATATATATATATATATATATATATATATATATATATATATATATATATATATATATATATATATATATATATATATATATAAATTAAACTAAAGTACATGAGGGAGAATCCGACTCATACATCATATAATTCGTTAAATAAAGTGTAGTTCAAGTAATTCTTTAAAGATTAATCTTTTTCTGTTTATTTTAGTTGTTTTTAGTCATATTTTTGCTTTATTGTGTTAAATATACATTAAACATATATTCATGAGGATCCAACATGAAATAATTCACTAAATAAAGTGTAGTTCAATTAATTTTTTAAAGATTTTTCACTTTTCCATAATCATTTTCATTGTTTTTCTTCATTTTCCTGCTTACTGTGTTAAATATATAATTAACAGACCTCCACGAGGATCCAACATGATATAATTCACTAAATAAAGCGTAGTTAATTTAATTGTTTAAAGATTATTCTCATTTTATATATACATTTAGTCATTTTTATTTACTCCTGCATTATTATATATAACATAAACATGTCTTCATGAGGATCCAACATGTTATAATTAGTTTAATAAAATGGAGTTCATTTAATTGTTAAAATTATTATATTTTTCATATTCATTTGGTCGTTTTTAGTCATATTTCTGCATTATTGTGTTATATGTAAATTAAACAGGCCTTCATAACGATCCAACATGATTTAATTTGTTAAATAAAATGTAGTTAAATTAATTGTTTGAAGATTATTCTCATTTTCATATGTATTTAGTGTTTTTTTTAATCATTCCTGCATTATTGTATTACATATACAAAGTAAACATCCCTTTACGAAGACCCAACATTATATAATTAGTTAAATAAAGTGTAGTTCAATTAATTGTTTGACGATTATTCTCATTTTCAAATATTTATTAGTTTTTTTTGTCATATTTCTGCATTATTGTGTTATACGTAAAGTAAACATGCCTTCATAAGGATCCAGCCAGATGTAATTTGTTGAATGAAATGAAGTTCAATTAATTGTTTAAAGATTATTCTTATTTTTCCTATACATTTAGTTATGATTTTAGTCCTATTCGGGCATTATTGTGTTAAATATATAAGTTAAACATAAGTTCACGAGGGAGAATCCGACTCACACATGATATCATTGGTTAAATAAAGAGTAGTTCAAGTTATTCTTTAAAGATTAATCTTTTTCATATTAATTTTAGTTGTTTTTTAGTGATATTTCTGCTTTATTGTGTTAAATATACATTAAACATATCTTCATGAGGATCCAACATGAAATAATTCACTAAATAAAGTGTAGTCCAATTAATTCTTTAAAGATTTTTCTCTTTTCCATAATCATTTTCATCGTTTTTCCTCATTTTCCTGCATTATTGTGTTAAATATATAATTAACAGACCTTCAAGAGAATCCAACATGTACAGTTCACTAAATAAAGCGTAGTTAAATGAATAGTTTAAAGATTATTCCCATTTTATATATACATTTAGTCATTTTTATTTATTGCTGCATTATTATATATAACATAAACATGCCTTCACGAGGATCCAACATGTTATAATTAGTTTAATAAAATGGAGTTCATTTAACTTTTTGTAGATGATTCTCATTTTCATATTCATTTAGTCATTTTTAGTCATATTTCTGCTTTATTGTGTTGTATATAAATTAAACTTACCCTCACGAGGATCCCACATGATGTACTTCATTAAATAAAGTGTAGTTCAACTTATTGTTTGAAAATGATTCTCATTTTTATTTGTTTAGTCATTTTTAGTCATGTTTCTGCAATATTGTATTATATATAAATTAAATATAAGGATTCGACATGAAAAATTAAGTTAAATAAAATGTTGTTAAATTAATTGCTTGACGATTATTTTCCTATACATTTAGTTGTTTTTTTTAGTCCTATTCTGGCATTATTGTGTATTATGTAATTTAAACATACGTTCAAGAGGGAGGGTCCGACTCCAGCATGGTATAATTCGTTAAATAAAGTGTGGTTCCAGTAATTCTTTAAATAGTAATCTCTTTTTCATATTCATTTAGTTGTTTTTGGCCATATTCCTGGATTATTGTGTTAAATATAACATGAATATACTGTCACAAGGATTCCACATGATATAATTTGTTGAGTTTAATTAATTGTTTGAAGATTACACTCATTTTCCTATACATTTAGTTGTTTTTCAGGCATATTCTTGCATTACTGTGTTAGATATAAATTAAACATACCTTCACGAGAATCCAACGTGAGTTCAATTAATTGAAGTCTCCATAAGCTTTTAGAAGAATTAAGTCATTCATTTTAAAATGTTTTAGATTTAATTTAACATGCATAGGTCAGATGAGACTTAAAATAATTTTATGTACATTAAAGAAAGCCTAATATATTTTGCTAGTATATCTACTTTTAGCCAAGTGAAATATTTTGTTTGTATATATGTATAAATAAATAAATGGTAATATTAAATATCAATATAAATAGTTCGTAATATGAAGAGTTCAGATGCAAGAACCTCTAAATGCCATCTGGAATTTCCTCCTAAAATGAGCATTTTTCTCTGCTTCCTATGTTTATGTTCAGTTATTTCACTTTAAAGGCAATGGAAATAAAGTATTCGTCACTATAAAAGTAACATTTCTGAGCCTACACACAAAGGTCGGAGAACAATGCTAATATTAGAAGAAAACATTTAACGGAATCTGGAGGTTTTACTAAACTCTTCATATATTAGTTATTTTTATTTTTCAGAGGGTCAAATTATGACTTCTGAGTAAAGTTTAATGTGCATTCTAGATTGATATTTGCCTAATACATTTTTTTTTTAATCTTAAATAAGTCCTAAGATATTTGTGTTTCTCTTGTGACATGGATTGATGAAGTGCTTAAGTATTTTTCCCCTGGCATTTTATGTTTTTTTATTGAAAATTGCACATTTAAAACACAAAAATATGTATGTAAATCTATATTTTTGTAAGCAATTTGTCAACATTGTTGTAAATAATTTGGTGAGTTAAAATGAGTGTGCACTTTAATATCAACAGACAATAATCCAGCACAAATTAGTGTTTAAAATATCACCAAAATGCAGTCTTTACATGTCATAAATATAATTAAATACAAGATTGCAGGAACCTTTTTTATTTGAAAAATGTCACATTTCACTATGCTTGCTATGGGCCTGTGAAATTAAAAAACATGATTATTAAATCCACGTTATGTTGAGTAGCCTACATAAGAGAGGTAGTACATTTTTCATCTACACTGTAAAAATATTCATACATGTGCAGTTTTGTTATTAAGGGGGTAGTTCACCCCAAATAAAATTATCCTGACTAATTATGCGGCTAGCATGTGTTTGACTCGCGTGAGTGACTTCAATCTGTTTGCTGTCTTTAATTAGGTTGATTGATTGGACGGATGAACTAAAGATTCGTCATGCCACCAACAGCCGCTGTGATCAGAGGAGTTCAGAAGCTGGTGCTTTATGAGACCCGAGCTGTAAGTCACTTCATTTATTACTGCTGAAGGATAATGTGCAGTGCATTGAATTAATTAGTACTGCACAATATATCATGTTAGCATTGATATTGCAATGTGCAAATCTAAAATAGGACAATTCAACCTTACCATGAAAAGAAGTAAAATTTTCAAACATCAGACCATCTACGCTACTTGACAGTAGTCTTGTGGCCTATCCAAGTTTTAGGAGCAGCAGATAATAAGTTGACTTCCAGTTGATGATTTGGTGTCAGAAGTGTCTCATATGAAAGGTGTAGGCCTCTAGATTTTGCTGATTTGACCACAATAAAATCTGATCTTGTCTTGATGTTGACTGATTTGATGAGGACAGTGCGGTCTGACTCTGCTCAGACTAAAGTCTCATCACTGAACAGAAATAATGTCCAGTATAGAATATAAAGTCCTGCTGCAGTGGAGACAGAATGAATATTGTGTCTGACTCCATCATGAGCTTGGAGGACTGCATCCATACATCTCTGACATGACTCAAATCACTGATTAATAAAGTCATCTGGAATGAAGAAGAAAGCGTTCAGCAGGACTCCCAGAGCTCATCAAGAGTCTTTGTGTTCATCTTCAACACCTCCTCCTTCATTAGCTCAATAATGTTCATGTCTGGTGACTGGGCTGGCCAATCCTGGAGCACTCTCTGCTTTCAGGAGCTTTGATGTGGAGGCTGAAGTATGAGCAGGAGCGCTATCCTGCTGGAGAATTGTCCCTCTCCTGTGGTTTGTAATGTAATGGGCAGCACAAATGTCTTGATACCTCAGGCTGTTGATGTTGATCATCCACTCTGCAGATCTCTCGCACGCCCCCATACTGAATGTAACCCTAAACCATGATGTCATCTTCACCAAACTTGACTGATTTCTGTGAGAATCTTGGCTCCATGCTGGTTCCAGTAGGTCTTCTGCAGTATTGGTGATTATTGGGATGCAGATCAACAGATGATTTATCAAAGAAATCCATCTTCAACACTTTTCCAAATCATCAACTAGAAGTCGAGTTATTATGTGTTTCTTACAACTGGGGTCCACGACAAGACTTGTCGGGTAGTGTATAAGTAGAAATATTGGAGACTAAATAGCCACAATGTATTTTTCAGACCACAGCAAAATCCTATATTGGAGACCAGTCATTTGACAGTTCTAGACATTTCTGACTGCATTAATGTTCATTTGTTGATATTCATTGTGAGATATCAGGGATGTTAATGCCACTGTGTGCTGCTAGATGGCAGTGTTCAGCTGTCATTAAACCCCAAATCAGATTCAGTGTCTGAACTACTGTCAATCTGTTCACTAAGAAGAGACTTTAATCAAAGTTTTGTCATGTTAATAATATTATGAATAATTTTGTGCAATCTGCTGGTCGTCTTTGGGGTAATAAATGTGTTTTTATGCTCTGATAATCAGCAAAGAACGAACAAAAATGATGTTAAATGGGGCGGCACAGTGGCTCAGTGGTTAGCGCTGTCGCCTCACAGCAAGAAGGTCACTGGTTCAAGTCCCAGCCGGGTTACTTGGTGTTTCTGTGTGGAGTTTGCATGTTCTCCCCTGTTGGTGTGGGTTTCCTCCGGGTGCTCTGATTTCCCCAATAGTCCAAACACATGCGCTATAGCGGAACTGATGAACTAAATTGGCCGTAGTGTGTGGGTAATTGTGAGTGGATATGGTTGTTTCCCACATCTGGGTTGCGGCTGGGAGGGCTTCCGCTGTGTAAAAAACATATGCTGAAATAGTTGGCGGTTCATTCCGCTGTGTCGATCCCAGATAAATAAGGAACTAAGACGAAGGAAAATGAATGATCGTTTAGATGTCGTAGAAAATTGTATTACCAAAATTTGTCGTGCTCATAACTCATGGTTATATTCAAACAAGTGAAAATAAAATATCATATACCCGAGTTTATGACAGCAATAATAAATAAACAAAACATTTGTGTAAATGTGTGCAGACTAATACATAGATCAGGCTTTAATTAAGAATTCAGAGGCCCCTGGGCACAATGTCTTGTAGGCCCTCTACCTGGTTGCAGGCCTATTGTTAAATTAAAAAAAATTAGAATAACAATGTTTAAAAAATAAAATGTATCTGTAATGTGTTGCCCGCATTTTTTAAATAAATGATATACAGTACATATGTTTCTAGTCTACAGAGATTTAACTTATTATTAAAGCATTTTAAAAATAATACAACTAGTGAAAATTAATGTATTTTAATATAATGTAATGTGCTAATGGTCTAATCTGAATCAATGATCTATGCTAAGCTAAGCTAAAAGTGCTCTAATTAGACCCGGAGATTGACTGAATAGATTATTACGCTGCTGTGGTCATGGAACGACAGCACAGTTTTTTGATTATTACGCCAGCATGAGATTAGTTCCTAGACATATCAGCCTAGGAAACCTTTCATTTTCCAACAATTTTGGGACACAACGTGTAGAGTCGAGCTTTAAATAGAAAAATTATGGAAAATGTTAGGTCATTTTGAGTGATATGCTAATGGTCTAATCCACAGGTGTCAAACTCCATTCCAAAAGGGCCGCAGCTCTGCACAGTTTAGTTCCAACCCTAATTAAACACACCTGATCAAACTTATTGAGTCCTTCAGGCTTGTTTGAAACCTACAGGTAAGTGTGTTGGAGCAGGGTTGGAACTAAACTGTGCAGGGCTTCAGCCCTCCAGGAATTGAGTTTGACACCCCTGGTCTAATCCAATTCAATGATCAGCTGAGTTAAGCTGAAAGTGCTCCCCCTAGACCTCGAGATCAGCTGAATAATTAAAAAATGGTAAAAAATTTGGATCGTCTGTAAGCTAAAGGTGCTTCTTCTAGACGCAGAGATTGGATAAATGCATTCAAACTGGTAGAACTCAGCTGTTTAATGTAAAATAAGCCTATTTCCACCCCCAAAAAAGTGGAGTGCTCCTTAAAACATGCTTTTTTTTTTGTCTGTTTCCCAGCAGGTGAAATGTGTGTGTCCGATACCTGACCTCATTTATGTCAAAATGCTGTAATAAACCGAGCCCAGTGCACATCATTTTCTGCAGACAGACACAGACAGACACAGTGCAGTACAGTGTGAATCCATTGTGTTCCTTTAATTTCATGCAGTATTTTACAGACTTTTCGCTTTTGAGGCACAGAACAGGACAGATCGGACCATTTATGAGCACATTCAGGACTGAATGCAGATTATAATGGCGGCTGAAGGGAGAACACATAAAGACTGGCGCTCTTTATTCTCGTTCTCCCTCAAGAAACACCAGACTTTAGTGCGTCCTACCTGGAAAAGTGTTCAAATAAAGAGCAAGAGAAGTAAAATTGAGTGGCTCTTAGCATCCCATTATACTCACTTATTCAGTTCTTACTGAAAATGAAGTAATCTGCCTTCTCTTTAAAACTTCAGAAGATTAAATGTAATATTAGAAGTTTCTATTTAAAAAAAAATGGCAGCAATTTACCAGATTTATTAATTATTTAAAAACCTTAGATGTGGAGTGATGGTATACTGTGTGTGTGTGTGTGTGTGTATGTGTGTGTGTGTGTGTGTGTGTGTGTGTGTGTGTGTGTGTGTGTGTGTGTGTGTGTGTGTGTGTGTGTGTGTGTGTGTGTGTGTGTGTGTGTGTGTGTGTGTGTGTGTGTGTGTGTGTATAAATGAGTACACACCCATTTGAAAATGAAATTTTTTATTAATTTCTCAGTGAATAAAGACAATAATATTTTTATTATTATATGTAATACACACTAATGATTACCAATATATAACCAATATATTTACTCACTGAACATCTTTAGGAATAGAAAGATAATACATTTAAATTAAAATGAGGTATTGCAAAAATAAAATTGCAAACTTAATTTTTGGACAGTGATCTTCAGTGTTTTTGTTAGATTAGTTGATCAGATTTTTCTTTGGTACTGACTAATCTAATGTATATTCACAGATATATTACTGTGAAGCATCCTGTAGAAGATTTGAATGTAAAAGACAGATCTGTAAGGGGTGAACTCATTTATGCTCAGGTGTGTGTGTGTGTGTGTGTGTGTACACAGTTGAAGTCAGAAATATTAGCCCCCGCTGAATTATTAGTCCCCCTGTTTAATTTTTCCCCAAATTTCTGCTTAACAGAGAAGTTTTTGTAGGCAAGTTATTGTATAACGATGGTTTGTCCTGTAGACTATCGGAAAAATATAAAAAAAAATAAAAAAGCTTTCATTCTAGCTGAAATAAAACAAATAAAAGTTTCTCCAGAAGCAAAAAAAAAATATTATCAGACACTGTGAAAATGTCCTTATCTGTTAAACAGCATTTGGGAAATATTTAAAAAAAGAAAATAAAAATCAAAACAAATCAAGGGGGGCTAAAAATTCTGACTTCATGCGTGCGTGTTTGTTTATCCATGACGATCTGCATCTGTATAATGTGATTATTATTAGCAGTATTATTGATTATATGCAGATTTATATTTGCTTTAATAAACACAAGTGTAGATGTGTCCAGCTGTGGGGTTTTGGAGACGTCTGCATCAGCATATGTGGATAAGAACAGGACGTGTGTTTGGATATAACTCAGTTTTCTGACCACACTTCATTATTATTGTTCATTTATTCCTTTGCTGGAGATCAGAACTGAATTTAGAAATAGTTTAGACACAAATCTTTGTGCTTAAAGGAAAATAAATATGTGGGCTGATGGATGTGTTCAGTGGAGTGAGTTTCCACCGTTTCCTCACTCCACCAATGTAAAGGAGTAAAAAGTAAAAATAAAGTAGAGAGAAAATAAAGAGGCTGAATGGAGGAGGCTCGTTCTTTATCCTCGCGCTGCAGATGCTCTGTTTAACTGTTTTCTCGCTAGTGATGCATTCAGTTTTTACACTTACTCCATCACGTAAAAAAAAGTCAATGCACCATGGAGCGACGCTACTGACTCTTAAAGGGAATGAAAGACGAGACTCTGATTGGTTTATTGCAGGTTATGCTCAAAACACACCCAGAAAAAGCATGCGCCGGGTGAAGAGCGTATTTATCCATCCTTAAAAGAGCAAAAGTGGATTCAGACATGCCCTTAATGCTTTTGTGTCAATGAGCTTTAGACTTTGCACCTAGATCCTTAAAAAGAGCCCACTGTTGTCATTCCCCACCGCTGGTTTAGTTCTATTTATGTTTTATTTATATTACATTATTTGCTTATTTTTTGAGAGTCATCATGATCTATAATAATATACTTTCTACTGTTATGCGTGTTGTACGTATGCTTTATTGTTTTCCTATTTATGTATTTTGACCTGTCCACCCAGTACCTTTAAATGCACACACACAACACACACACATGCGCACACACACACACACACACACACACACACACACACACACACACACACACTCTCTCTCTCTCTCTCCATTCTCTCTCCATTTGTTGCTCTCATAATCATAATGAAATACTTGATAACTTTTGTCTGTGTTTGTTTGTTTGTTTGTCAGCGGTATTTCCTGGTGGGCAGCAATAATGCTCAAACCAAACACCGTGTGCTGAAGATCGATCGCACCGAGCCTCGAGATCTGGTCATCATTGATGATAAGGTGAATTAAGTGAAGTTTTTAAACTAATTTCTAGAGGAGCAAGTGATATAATTGACTCCAGCTGGGCACCTATCTGCACTCATTAGTTAGCCAATCAGATCTATCCTAACTCACTATAAGTAGCCTAGCTAGATATTACTCCCTTATCTTCGTTTTCCGAAGAAACCCCTCATCCACCCCCTTTCTCCTCCTTTCCTCCTTTAAAAAGGGGAGCTGTCGAGAACCACCTGATCTCGTACTCCCCTCATATGCTCAATGGACCTGGCGGGAGCCCTGGGCTCAACTATCTCCGAGCTCAGGGTTCTCTCCCGGGACAGCATGCCAAACCTGCTAACAGTTGTCAAGCAATATCTAAGTGTGAACGCTTGAAACACACACACTCCACGTTCACTAGCTGCGTCTCAGTGCACAGATGAGAATTAGGTTCATGCAGAAATCTTCTGCAATAGTGCACAAGACAGTTTACATCCAATCAGTGTGTGTGTGTGTGTGTGTGTGTGTGTGTGTGTGTGTGTGTGTGTGTGTGTGTGTGTGTGTGTGTTTAAATGATTGCATTTTCATGTATATAACTATAATTGTTTGTGTGTGTCTCAGCATGTGTACAGTCAGCAGGAAGTGCGTGAGCTGCTGGGTCGTCTGGATCTGGGTAATCGCACTAAGATGGGTCAGAAGGGATCCTCCGGCCTGTCCAGAGCAGTTTCTGCCTACGGCATTGTGGGTAAGAGCCTCCGTTCCTCCACTGCTAATGCTGCATCCCAATTCACACACTCTCCACTGTATAGTGCAGGTGTTTAGACTGTGGGGGAAACCGGAACACCCGGAGGAAACCCACGCCAACACAGGGAGAACACACAGAAACGCACAACACACAGAAACACCAACTGACCCTGCCGGGACTCCAACCAGCGACCTGCTTGCTGTGAGGCCACAGTGCTAACCACTGAGCCACCATGTTGCCCTCCTTTGTACACTATTAGCCTAAATAACCATAGCCTAAATAGCCGGGTCCATGTAGTAAATGCATTAACTAATACAACCTCACTGTAAAGTGTTAGCGAGTTTGCTCCTCTGTTCTGTTCATCATCATCATCATCTCCTCCTCCTCCATCTTGCCAGTTAGCTGCTGTGCATTAATACACTTCATCCTTATTGCTGCAGTTTTATCACAGACACGTGCGAGTGTGTGTTCATTGTAAAGGTCAGCCGGGCGCTTCAGAAGTGTGTCGATGCCCACGCTGTTTACCTGAGAATCTTCGCCATGGCACTGTCACCATAGAAACAGTGCATGTGAACGAGACTCGGCCCACACGCGTGTCTTTGAGGTGCCCGCTGTCCGCCTGGCAGAGCAACAGCACAAAACACCCACACCGTCACCAGCGCATCTCCAGGCGACAGGCTGCGCTTGAGGGCCAGAAATGCTTCAAAATCAGTTTTTTTTACTTTTATTATGTTTATTTAAGGGCAAAACGAAGTTTGTTAAAGTCCCTGTAAAGTCTCTAGATCCATACAGGGTGTCTGTCTTAAGTTAACAATGCAATGTCAGGCCTTAAAGTCTTGAAGGTGCAGTAGGTGATTGTCTTTAGAAAACAGTCCAAAACTAGTCCGAACTATTCGACGTAGTCAGGGGCGCCCCTGGGTAAACTCTGGCCACCCCTGTGCCCACCCCAATATGGTGGGTGTTGGCTTTTTATTGGTGCTGCAGCTTGAAGACGCCTCTCATATGGAGAATGAAGCTTCATGCATTCCTCAGGTGTGAGTTTCTCACAGACTTCAACAAAATGTGTAAATCTTGATGCTTCTGTGGGTTGTTGCGCTACGCGTTGTTGCGACGTGTAGTTACATTTTTTGAGAGGTGCACGTCAGTGACGGCGACGGCCATGGCGAAGAGCTATGCGTCAGCGCCGTAGCATACGCCGGTGTTTGACGCAGAAGTATAAATCAGCCTTGAGTGTGTGTATATAGTAAATAACGTCTTTAGTTTAGTTTGTTTATTTGTTTGTTTTATTATTTAACTCAATCTTCATTAATTTTAGGCTTGGCATATACTATGCTGTACAATAACGGTGTGTGAAAAATAACCTAAAAGTTTAATATATATATATATATATATATATATATATATATATATATATATATATATATATATATATATATATATATATATATATATATATCTATCTCTGTCTCGCTCGCTCACGCGAGCGTGCGTATATATGTGTTTTTTTTTTTTTTTTATATATATATATATATATATATATATATATATATATATATATAAAAAAAAAAAAAAAAAAAAAAAAAAAAAATAAAAATATATATATATATATATATATATATATATATATATATATATATATATATATTTATTTATATTTTTAATTTTTCTATATATCTATATATATATATATATATATATATATATATATATATATATATATATATATATATATATATATATATATATATATATATAAATTAAACTAAAGTACATGAGGGAGAATCCGACTCATACATCATATAATTCGTTAAATAAAGTGTAGTTCAAGTAATTCTTTAAAGATTAATCTTTTTCTGTTTATTTTAGTTGTTTTTAGTCATATTTTTGCTTTATTGTGTTAAATATACATTAAACATATATTCATGAGGATCCAACATGAAATAATTCACTAAATAAAGTGTA